TATCTCAGACTGTGGTGGGTTTGCAGTCTTGCTGGTGTTCCCAGGCTGGCCTGCGGCCAGTTGGCTATCAGCTCCACCCACTGGTTCGCCTTGTACAGCAGAAGGACTGACCCCCGGAGACCACATTTCCCAAGCCCTGGTGGCAGCTGGCCTCCAGCTGGTTTTGGACAATAAGAATTTCTGGCAAGACTTGAGTGCAGGAGGAAAGGAGAAGCCAGAGAATTTCTCTCTCTCTGCCCTGGTCAGCGTCTTCTTCAGGGATCCAGTTCCATCTGGGCAGACCCACGTGTGTTTCAGGTTTTATACTTGATCTTGGCCTTGGAGCTCTGTTACCTCCATCTCCCACTTTATTCATTCAGTCCAGGGGTGGTGGCGTTGTCCCATTCTTCCGGATTTGGGGGTTGTTTTGCTGTCCATCTTGGCTTCTCACTCAATGGTAAATACTTAGAGTTATTTGTTAGAAGAACAGCTGGGAATGATGGTTTTTCACACACCAGAAGTTTATGTTATAGATTCCCAAGTTAGAGCTATTAGGTCTTTTTCTGGGTTCCTTTTCTACAGAAAGCACTCATGTCCAAGGAGAGTTAACTCCTAGGGAACTGAGAGGGCTCGGTGGCCCTAGCATTAAAGGTTAAACCAAGTTACAGTGATAGAAAGAAGGGTGTAGGAATTAGAGAACCAAAAAAGGAGAGTTTGGAGTTCCTTCCAGTGAATATTTTGGACAGTCTTGGCCACAAGGAATAACAGGCAAGAAAGTGGGCATGTAGGACCTAGATTGGAGGTATTCAATATTGATGATGTGTGAGAGACCAAGAAGCAAAGGAGGCTGGCAAAGGAGGCACCTGACATGTTCTCTTTTACGTAAATGGGCTGTAACAGTTTGACCAGCAGTAGAACCTGCTGCCTTAGAGAAAGGGACGGGCTTTGGTATTTCATGATCGTGTTACAGGTCTTCACTTGGTTCCACCTTGACAGTCGTGAATTCTCTGCTAGTCCAAAAGTGAGTCCTGCACTTGGTCTCTGGGTCTCTGGAAACTCAGGGTCTAGGAGTAATAGGACCCCTTTCTTGCTCCATAGAAACTTGGGTCATGGTTCATTCCAGTGATCCAGCCCCTGGTGGAGAGAACTGTTCTGCCTTCAAGATGCAAAAAGGCCTTCCTGCAGTCTGTATTCTAGGGCAGGCATTTGCCTTTTGGTCGATTTTTGGTAAGAATGGCATATTAAGAAGCTTTTAAGATTTTCTAACTTGATTTTTCATAGACAGCTTGGGTAACATGCGGGCTAAGAATATCTTTCCATGTGAATTTCATCTGAAAACAAAAATAGAAAAATATTACATAAATCCAGACTGGTTTTTGTGTCCATCTCTGTATTGACTTTATTTAAAAATATGGACAGCATCTAACAGAATGTTAATAGGCAGGAGCATTGAACTGGTGCCATTTTGGCAGCTCCCACAAAGAAACCAAGTGGTAATTAAGTTTTTTCCCCCTTCTCCTGGAGCAGTTACACAACAGTTACATTTTTCTGCCAGTGAAGCAGCCCTAGGAGAATTCACGCACAGCTGGAAGTTACACTCCCGTGTAGTCCAGGGAAGTACTGCAGAACTTTCTAGTAATCCAGCACAAATCCCCGACATGCAGCTTTATCTATCTATCTATCTATCTATCTATCTATTTTTAGCTTTTGAAAATTAAAGGAAAAGAAAAAAAACCTGTGAACCTTAAGAGTTTAATACATGGGGATGTTTTTCCCCTATGACTTGAGCAATGCTGAAGAGAAAACTGTATCCTAAAAGGTGTTAGTTTTATTCAGGATTCTTGGGGACCAGGGCCTGCAGGCCAGCCCAGACCAGCTTAAGCCAAAAAGGGGGAGTTTGTTGGTGTTTACAGACCCTGGCATAGCTCACAGAATGAAAGGTGGTGCTGCCGGAAACAAGCACGTAGGCACCTGGACCAGGTCCCGGAAGCATGCCAGTACCCCCAGGCTCGGTCCCCCTGTTGGCTCTGTTTTCTCAGACACCTCCACCCGGTGGAAGATGGGGGTCACCTGGAGCCCGTGTCTCATCTCCTTGTTCCTCTGGGCCAAGGAGAAAGGAGCGAAAAGAGTGTGCTATTGCCTTCCTGATCTTTGTTGCATCCCACCTCCGTCCCCTACAGACAACAGACAAGCCCAGAGCAGTGTTCAGGCCCAGGTAACCAGAGGGGTGGCTTTTGTGATGGGTGGCCCCCAACAGGACTGTGTCAAGTTGGAGGAGTATGTGTACGTGTATTGGTACATGTGTGCTTGCGAGAAGCAAGACATGGAGGGCTGCAGAGGATGGTGTTACCAGCTAAGTCAAAGTCCTGAGAATGGGGGGCAAGGGCAGGGGAGAGGGTCAGCTTTATGCTTTTATGTATCACAAATTGTATTGTTACATTTGTTAAAAATAAGCTTGTATTGTGTTTTTGCTCTGAGAAGCATCCAGTAAAGGAGAAAGAAGGGACCCTATTCAGTCTGGACTCAGGAGGGGTGTGGATGTGGGGCACAACTTGGGACAGCTTGGGAGTCATGTCATCTTGGCCTGGAGACTGAGGGCCTCCCAGTAGGACACGGCAAACCTGCCTCCCTCCAGAGCGGTAGCAAGCGGGAGCACCCCACAGTGCTGTTTGCTCACCAGCCCTGTATCCCTTTTAGAAAGCAGAGCTGAGTGGGTTAGACTCACCACCACCCCAAATGTGGCCCAATCTACTAGGCGGTGTGTCCTTGTCCAGGGCAGTCAGAGGTAAGGCAGTGGCTGCCCACTCACGGACCACCCCTGCTTCAGCCCCCTGAGATAGGAATAGCTGGGCCACTGTCAGGCAGAGCACCTGATGTGAGTCATTAATTACGCAGAAGAAAAACCTGCTGGGCCCCCTTTATGGAAGAGAAAGCCAAGTAAATGACCAGTTGTTTGAACCTCATGGTCCATCCAGTTTGGTTAAGAACTTCCAATGCCTGGCACCAATGGGCTGTGGACAGTTGTGAGTAACCCACGTTCAGGACGTGTCTGAGGTCAAGGTTTCTCCCTACCTGCTGTCAGAGGGCTACCGCGATACCTCTGGCCAGTGACATGACCGAAATGTTGCCAGAGGAGCCAGTAATGTTCCATGTTGGGGGTGCTGTGGACCAGGGTGTAGCAGATGACAGCAGCTGCCACAGTGGCCAGCGCCCCCCCCCCCAACACCAACCGGGGCCCCGGGCGCCATGCTGAGCACACCACTGACGTGGCGATATGATCCCCAGCAAGGCAAGGTGGCTGCTTTCAGTCACAACCAGGAGTTGAGACCCAAGTGCCTCGGGTCCCGCTGGCAGTAAATGGCAGGCTTGGGTTTGGTACTCCTCCCCTCAGATCGCACAGCCTCCCGAAGAGCGAGCCTTTTTTGGCATTTCCCATTCATTCGCCAAAGTGGGTCTGAGTGGCTCTGATTGCGGGTGCCTGGTCTTCAGCTTTAGATGGAATGATTCCATCAGACTGCTCAAACCCATTAGAAAAAATATGTGCCTAACAGAACGGTGACTTTAAGGCAAGTGGCTCCAAACACTGGGGGAGGCAGGCCTGTTCTCTTCTTGCCACCTGTTAAGTGGGACGAGGGGGAGAACACATCTGGAGACTGGGATGGGGTGACAAGTCGAGTCTGGGACACTTCGAATCATGGGTGCCTTGGACCTGAGGCGGGATGGCCATGGCCAATGCTTCAGTGTACCTCGGAGGGTCCTTGGGCCAGACGGAAAGATGTAAAAAAAACCCAGGTGTGCAGTGGGAAAGAAATAAGAGATAAATATAAATATATATAAACATATTTATATTTATATATGTATATATAGTCCCTATCTCTAAAAATTTAAATTTACCAAATTTAACTGGTTATGTATGTCTGGTAGAATTACAATCGAGTTTTGTTTTCTTCTGAATATTTTTCCTGTGTACCCAATTATTTATAGTGTATATGTGTTGCTTCACATACCAGAGGGAAAAGTATTTTTATAAAAGAAAACAAGACCTCTTTCTTTAGTAGAAAATGGCCTGTTTTGATACGCACAGGTGATGAGGTGATGCGGGTAAATACTTCTGAGTATTTGTAATTGTCCCAAGGCAAAGTGTATGAACCCAAGCTCAGGTTGTCTATATGATTACAAGCAAGGCTGTCCCTTGGTGCCACCGTGCGTGTTTCAAGCCCATTGTTCCCATTCGTAGCATGTACGGTAGGTAGACAGAAGCTGCCTGCTGAGCTGTAACTTGTCCATTTGCAGAAATGAATGCCTTCCTGGCCCTCCCTGGCTGTAGGTGATTGCGTCTGGTGTCCTGCAGCCAGGCTGCAGACTCTTGCTGGGCTGCCATTGCTTAAACTGTGAAACTGAAGGGGGTTAGGGCTGGAGGACAGCCTCCAAAGCCTTATTGAGCTCTAAGATTTTAGGCTTCCTTATCTTTCAGAGAATGGGAATACCTTACAGGGAGATTCAAAGTGACTGTTGCACTCTAGAAGGGGGGCCAGTGCAACTGAGGGACTGATGGGTTTTTTATTTTAATTAATTTAAGTGTAAATTTATATAAGCACATGGGGCCAGTGGCTACCATATTGGACGGCACAGCTTCTCCATTGGAAGATAGTAATAGGAGGTGAGCATTTTAAATGCCTCTACACTTGTACATGTACGTATTTTTGAGATTAAAAAAAACACTATACTTTTAGAAAAACAATTTATTGTAGAAAATACAGACAAGAAGAAGAAAGTAAAGCATAGTCATAAAGGAGAGTTTACTCAGATAATGGCTGTGGGTACCGTGGTGTCTAAGCTTCTAAATGCATTCCTCTGCATATGTCCTAGTAACCAGCTGGCTTTCAGAAGCATAGTCTGGAATCATCCAGAAGGGGTTACAACGTGTTAGTAGGACAGAATGCCTATTTATGGCCCAGAAGACAATATGGACAGAGCTGTTAGCAACCCGCCATGGCTCATGTTTCTCTTCTGGGTGCTAGGTGATCAACCCCATGGGATGGGATGCCTTTGGACTGCCGGCCGAAAATGCAGCCATCGAGAGGAATCTACATCCAGAAAGTTGGACGCAGAGGTGTGTATTCACAGGTGTCTTCAAATACTTCCATACAGAAACTTAAAAAAAAATGTTTTAATCTGTGCATGAGAAACAGCAAAGCAGACAAAACATTGCAGTCTGCCAAGCCACGATCAGGATTGTATATATTGGCGCTTATGTTCTAGTGTGCTATATTCTTACCTGAGAAGTCCCAAAGAAGGTTCTGGGTATTTGTTCATCTGTTCATTTTGATGCTTTGTTGTTACAACATTATTCTTCCCTTGAGTCTTTGCATTTGGAAGGAAAAAGAAGGAGATGGTTGCATTTGTTAAATTTCTGCAATGCTTCTCATCTTCTTGACCACGGTGTGAGCTACATCCACATTCTACATTGTCATTTTCTCTGAAAATTCTGTTAATTTTTGCCTTCACCATTCCGGAGCGGCGGGGTGGGGGGGACTTAAACATTCCATGTAGAACTATATGGCCAATATATTTGGGGGCTGGCTTTCTCTAAGGGGGACACATACTCAGTTCCACCTGTGCCTCAGGGTTCCATGTACATGTGGGCCAGCGGTGCCCATCCCTCATCCCAGAACCCAGCGGAATGTTCTGGACTCACTCCATCAGCCTCTTTCACAAAGATCTGAGGTCTTTCCCCCACTCCATGCTTCAAGAGATCTAGAAGGGCATTTCCAGGTCCTGTCCCCTTTGTCTTTGACCTCCTTTTGCTTTATTTTGCCCAAGACTACTTTGTAAAAACATCCACTGTACCACCCACTTCTCTTTTCCCCCCTAAGCCCCAGTTCCCACTTTTTTCAGTTATGGTTAATTCTGGATTAAATGGAAGTAATGAAAAAAAGAAGAAAAGATAATCAAATAAAGTGGATCAAATATGGCACAAAATTGATGTAAACTATACCGAGGATTGGCAAATTAGGGCCTGTGAGCCAGATTTGGCCCTCCCTGATTTTGTAAATAAAGTTTTATTGGAACACAGCCATTCCCATTTGTTTACATAGTGCCCATGGCTGCTTTCATAATATAGGGGGCAGAATCACATTGTTGTGATGGACATATGGCCCACAATGCTGGAAACATTAACCATCTGGCCCTTTACAGAAGAAGTTTGCCAGCCCCTCCACAGAGAAAAGAGCAGTTAAGAAGATGGCCCCTGAATCAGGCCACCTCAGTGTGAATCCTGCCTTTCCTTCTTGCTTCCTAATCACCTTGAGAAAATTAATGTCTCTGTGCCTCAGTTTATTTCTTTTTACAAGAGGGATAGTCCTCGTTCCTACCTCATCTGAATGGGTAAAGATTAAGCACCATCTTCACTGGCTGCTGTAAACAAAAATTCCATAGTCTGGGTTGGCTTATAAGTCATAGATACTCCTTTCTCATAGTTCTAGAAGCTGGGAAGTCCAAGACCAGGGCACCTGCAGATCTGATGTCTGGCGAGGACCCCCCCCGCCCCGCTTCCTGGTTCACAGATGGCCATCTTCTCTCTGTGTCCCCAACATGGCAGAAGGGGCAAGGAAACTCTGTGGGGTCTCTTTCATAAAGGCAATGCTCCCATTTAAGAGGGCTTCCCACACATGACCTCATCCCCTTCCAAAGCCCTCACCTCTAAATACCATCACCTTGGAGGTTAGGTTTCAACATACAGACTCTGCGGGGACACAAACATTGTCCATAGCAAGCACTCTTCCGCAAAATGTCTAGCACAAAGCCTGGCATAAAATAAGCTGTTTCGGCTAAGCGGAGATCATCCAGGGGAAAGAAAAGAAAATAATGTATTACCTTATTTCATATTACGTTAAAGTTGATTCATTCGCTTTTCTCCCCCACCCCAATTATTGGACAGTTTTAGATTTTAGGTTTTGTTTGATAAGCACGAGAGCAGGTTTCTTTTGGATTCCCACAATTTGCAGATTAGGGTTTTTCTCTTCAGTCGATTTTAAATTTATAAATGCTTGGCTTAAGGGGCGCCTGGGTGGCTCAGTGGGTTAAAGCCTCTGCCTTCGGCTCCAGTCATGATCCCAGGGTCCTGGGATCGAGCCCCGCATCGGGCTCTCTGCTCAGCAGGGAGCCTGCTTCCCCCTCTCTCTCTGCCTCCCTCTCTTCCTGCTTGTGATCTCTATCTGTCAAATAAATAAATAAAATCTTAAAAAAAAAATGCTTGGCTTAAATTTGTGCGGAATACAGACATATGAATGGGCTGGGGGTGCCCATACCAAAGGGGTTTCCCTTCATGGACAGAGGAAGGGCCAGTCCCCAGGACCAAAGACCATTGTGGTTTCTAGTAGATTCTATATGAATCCGAAGAATAGGTGTCCTCTAATTCTAATATGTTGTTATTTTCATCGATTCTTAGTGATTTATTTTTATTTATTAAGTTTTTTTTCTTTTTGGCCCGGGCAAGGCACCATGGGCAGCCCTCTTGAATAATCTAGACTTTTGTAGTTTCCCTTCACATTCTCAAGTATGGTTCGTCTGTGGCTTTCTCCCCTTGAAAATTAAACTGTCTTCCCTCTGTCTCACAGTAATATTGAACACATGAGGAAGCAGCTTGATCGACTGGGCCTGTGTTTCAGCTGGGACAGGGTAAGTCAGCCATTTCTCCTGGAAGGGTTTCATTTTTATGAAGGTCCCACGTGCACAGAAGACCATGCCACTTCCATGTTTCTTCTCTTTAGGTTGGGAGAAGGGATGGGAGGGAGGGTAGGATTAGTGCTCCACAAATGGAAAAGTATTCCCAGAGGACAGTCTGCCTTCAGACAAGTAATTTTCTGTGGGATTAAGCTAAGAGAGTTAACTTCTTATTTAACTCTACAGCTGACTAGAATTTATGTGTGTCAGAATCTTTATACATGGATTTCTCCTCTCTGCAATATTTTATTTGATTTATTTGTTTATTTTTAAGATTTTATTTATTTATTAGAGTGAGGCAGACAGCAAGAGGGAACACAAGCAGGGGGAGTGGAAGAGGGAGAAGCAAGCTTCCCACTTAGCAGGGAGCTCAATGTGGGGCTTGACCCCAGGACGCTGGGATCATGACCTGAGCCGAAGGCAGACGCTTAACGACTGAGCCACTCAAGTGCCCCTTCTCTGCAATATTTTAAAAAGACTATTGGAATCTCTATAAACTTGATTAACTTTCAGCCCATCTGTTTTTTTGGGTAGCTAGGTGCTAAGTTGACTGACCCATTTATTTACCTTTGTTCCAAGTTCAAAATTGAGTCTTGTAACAGCCCATAATGCTTGTGTCACCAATAGCATTTTGGTGTAAAATGCTTTTGAATTCTGTATTAAGTGGGTGGAGAATTCCAGGTACGGGAGGACTTCATGAAGACCACCTGGGTGTTAGGAACATTCAAGAAACTGGGAACTAAGCCCTTCAACGCTCTGGCCAAAGTCCCACCCCCTTAGACAACTGATGTCCTGTTTGGTAGAAGGGATTCCTGCCTGTCTCTTCACTGGACCCTCCAGCGTCACGATCCTTCTTAGCACCCATATGCTCCACAAAATGATTAAAGATTTCATTGCTGAACCTGTCAAGGTCAAGTTCACATCCTCTTCCTCAGGAGAAGCACCTGGAACAAACCCAAATACGATCTTTTCCTCCTCCTCCAGCAATTTCTTAAGTAATTGAGATTTAATGAGTGTAGCAAAAGAGAGCAAACACATTTGAACAGTCTTTTTTCTTTTTTTCTGGTAGCTTCTTTAGGTAAGGTCATGAGCTGAATCCAGTTCTTGTTACACCACCAGTGGCATTTTTACCACTGACCTGACTTGCAAGGTTATCAGTGTTTCATTTGGTGGAGGTGGCAAAAAGTCCTGGAGGCCCGGTCCCATTGTCCTGAGGTGCCAGAAATCGCTAATGAAGTGCAGTCCGATGCAGAGACAACCGAGTGCTGCCCAGAGCTCTCCAGAGAGGACAGTCTAGATTCCTTGAGGGCAGAGATGGACTCGTTAACCCTCTAGTCCGGCACAAGAACATCAGCCATTAAGTGGTTCCCAATATTAGCGGATTCTTTTCCTGATTATCATAGAAGATCAGAAAATACAGAAAAGTCTAAAGAAAAACATGGGTCAGTGAGGCTAGTTTAACATCCTGGTATGGTTCCTTGGGTCTTTTATTCTGGAATTATAAACATCTATATAATTTACTTTTGCAAAGTTGAATTCATAATGCGTGTTTTTATTTTGCCTTTTTTTTTTACCCACTATTCATAAACATTTTCCCATTTTATTAAATATTCTTTGAAAAAATGACTTTCCAGAGCAGTATAGTTTCTGTTTTATGACTATATTATAACTTGTAAGTTTACCCCTTATTATCATACATTTAGATAGATTTTAATGTTTATTATAAATATGGGTTCTCAGTCCCTTCTGTGCAAATCTGAAGTCCAGAAAGCTCTAAAAACTGAATTTTTTTTTAACTCATTTGACTGCAAAATCTGACCTGAACTGGTATTTATCTCACTTAGAATGAATACCTGTATATTTTCCTGTAGGAACAGTAATATAACTGATTACCAGATTATCGAAAAAGGTCTTCATTCTGAGGCACAATTGACTGCATCTCAGAGAAGAGGTTTTGAACCTGTCATGCAGTCCTGTAGATAAATAAGTCTTCTCCGCTACCACTGTCTAATGGTTACTGAGCACTTACTGTGGGCCAGACACCCATAATTATCTCTTTGGGTCCCTAGTAGGTTCTAAAATGAAGATACTTTTATTGACATCATTTTATTGCTGGTCACTCAAGCAAGCAGGGCTTGGCTAATTCACTGACCAATTTGCTCTGTTCATCCTCCCCTCTTGGAGCAGAAATCTTGATACAACCATTTATTTTTTTTTAATTTAAAAGATTTTATTTATTTATTTGAGAGAGAGAGAGAGAGAGAATGAGAGAGAAAGCATGAGAGGAGAGAGGACAGTGGGAGAAACAGACTCCCTGGCGATCAGAGAGCCTCATGTGGGACTCGATCCCAGACTCCAGGATCATGACCTGAGCAGAAGGCAGTTGCTTAACCAACTGAGCCACCCAGGAGCCCCCAACCATTTTTTATTATTTCTTTAATGTGAGCTCTCAGAAAAGCCATGAACAAGTTTAAGGCTTATATAAGTCCTTAAAGGAAACTTAAAGGTGTCATTTGGCTGGTGGTATTTGAAGGTTTGAAGACCATACAAATTTATACTCTCAAGTGATTACAGAGATGTTTTCGTCTGTATTTCTTTCACTGGCCATGATAGGGAGGTCCCCCACCCCACATGTTTCGTGGATGTTTGAATTTGGGGTGTGTCTGTATGGATGATACAATCATGTCTTTGGCCCACACAGGTAAGGAGAGTTTGTTCTGTTCTTTTCTTTCTCTTTTTCTTTTTTTCTTTTTAGATTTTATTTATCTGAGTGATAGAAAGAGCCAGCAAGCATGAGCCGGAGGGAAGGGGCAGAGGGAGAGAGAAAAAGAATCTCAAGCCAACTCTGTGTTGAGCCCAGAGCCTGACTTGGGACTGGATCTCATCACCCTGAGATCATGACCTAAGCCGAAACCAAGAGTCAGATGCTTAACCCACTGAGCCATCCAGGTGCCCCAGATAGGAGTTTTTAGGCCCAATTTATTCTTTATATTATACATTTTCTGATTGTGTGTTATTTTCTGAACACTGTGTTTGGTATCTGCTGCGAGTCTTAAAATCACGTCCATAACAATTACTCACATTGAAGGTTCCTTTGCTGGTTTTAGTGTTCATCAGTAGACCTTTTTAGAGCATGTCCACCCGTTTAAAAAATCTGGATTTGTGAAAATATTTTTTCGACTCTTGCTTTTTCTGGCATCATACATTGTCTCCATAACAAAGAATAACTATCCTGCTTTGTTTTCATCTGTGAACAGGAGTTTACTGGGGAATGGAATTCTTTTTTCTTTCAGATTTCTGTAGTGGACCTGGATGCTCGACCTACTATCTTTTTTTTTTTTCTTTTTTTTAAATAATTCTAGTCTTACTGGAAATTGCCAAGTAGTACAGAGAGATCCTAGGTACCCTTCATCCAGCTTCCCCCAATGAGAGCATTGGATAGAATTATAATATAACATAATAACAAAACCAGGAAATTGACACTGGCATGAAGCTATTAACGAAGTACGAACCTCATTTAGATTTCACCAGGTTTACACACAGTCACTGGGCTATGTGCAGTAGTCTTCATTCTGTACGGTTTAATCCCATGTGGAATTTATGTAACAGCCTCTGACCCGCCAGCCTTTGGTGGGGAACCTGAGACCAGCCCAGGTGGTCCATTTGGTCCATTCGTACCTGCAGGAATCTTTCTACCCCCATTTAATGCTTGTTGGTTCCTTCCCGTCTCTGCCCCTGCCATTTCAGGTTTTCATCAGTGTATCCCAGTTTAGTCCTTCCACCCGAGTTTTGGGTGCTGAGTGACCCCTTTTGATCTGCAGTTGTGGGTTCTTCCCTGTGGCAGTTTTATGGGCTCTGGTTCCCAAGAACCCCAACTGTCAGAACGCGCGCTCCACTCAACTGTCTTCCTTTGTTTGTCTGTCTCCCTCATGACCTTGGTCCCTTTGTTCTTCTCTGCCTTTTGGGAGAACTTCTCCTGTTTGCTTTCCACATCACTGGTCCGGTTTCTATGGAATCGGTGTTGCTTTGTATGGCTTCAAATGCAGATACTCATTTTGCTATTGTATTTTTAGATTTAGTCGCATTTTTTTCTTATCTCATTCAGTTCCCAGTTTCTTTGTCAGTCCTCTTCTTTATTTTCTTCTTCTTCTTTCACCATCTTATCTCACATCTTCACAGACTGTGTATGTTCAGAAACTTTGAGGCTGTAAGGAGATGCTCTTGAAAAGTTATGTTTGCTTCCCGTGCTGAGTCTTTCTTACAAGTAAGAATGTCATGTTGTCCTTGTTTGTTTCAGAATCTCTTTTTAGACACCATGTGGATTTTCTCCCATGTTTGCTCAGTGACGTGGACTAATATGTCAAGTTAGAGATCCAGCCGCCTGAGGGGAGGGGAGGAGAAGGGAAGCTCCTTTGTAGTCTCTGTATCACTGATTCCTTTCTGTGTTTGGGGCATCCACTGCTCCTTGTGCATCTTTCCCTGAGATCTGATCTTTACCCAGGGATGAGGTGTGACGTCACAGATACCCCTGACCCTGACTGACCCAGAGGGGTCTTTGTGGGCTTTCTATTTGCCCCATGGCCCGCTGTCCCCTCAGGACTTTGCCTTTTCAAGTAAGAGGTAGCAGAGCCCTGCTTCTCAAGGACTCAGTCTGTTCTTAAGGGTAGGGGGTGCAGTTGGGCTTACGATATTTTTCTTCAATTTGGTTCCATCTGCCAAAATTCTTTGGCATTGCTGACACGTCAGGGGCACCGTGTATTGTTTTCAGTACTGGTGGAGTCCCTATGTCCCCCATCTTTATATTCTGTTCATCTTTTTTTTTTTTTAAGATTTTATTTATTCATTTGAAAGAGAGAGTAAGTGAGAGAGGGACGGAGCAGGGGGAGAAGCAAGCTCCCCGCTGAGGAGGGTGCCCGATGCAAGATTCAATCCCAGGACCCTAGGATCACGACCAA